GATGTGTACGGGGATCTAATGTGTAGGATACTGCTTACCACAGCCCCAAGATGGAATGAATGTCTACATGTTACCTTGAAAGCCAGGGAAAATTATTGATGGTACACCCCCACAGAAGCTTAAGCACCAATCTTGGAGTTGAGAATGACTCTGGGGAAGACACTGACGTGCTCACAGCATAGGAAAATTTGTCTTCCCTATTACCCAGTCAGATCCTGGCTTCCTTTGCCATAGAGACGCTTGGGAATGATAATTTTGAATTGTTTCAGAGTTTCAGCTTTCTAATGTATAATTCCAGGAGACTTCTGTAGTCCTTATGAAATGTGAGTATTCCCAGAACAACACTGCTACTGTGCCAGCCAGCCACCACTCTGTGACTCACTGCAATAAGAATGAGATGGGCCTGGGGTTGGTGACTGCAAGCACAAGTTGGTCACAGGTATGCCCCTGAAGGTCAAGAGGCTGCAAGGAACCACATAAGGCTGAGGAGCCTTTAGGAGGTGGCAGAAGTATGTCCCCAGGGTGTGCTTTGAAGAATATACCTGCTTCTGGGTCCAGCCACTTTTCTCCACTCCCTGCCTGCCACCGTGTGAACACCATCCCCCACTCTCCACCCACTGTAGAGAGAGCCGTTCCTACTGCCATGCCGGCCCTCAGCCATGATCTGAAATCCTTCTGCTATGGTGACCCAAAATAAACTTTCCCTTCTCCTTTCCCTTGGGAAGTTTATCGCAGCAATGAGAAAATAATCTATCATGAGCTTGTGTGGGGTCACCCTGAGAAAATAATCAGTCAAGAGCTTGCTTAGGGTCGCCCTGCAGCTTCTCAGAGAAGCTAAGATGAAGCCTGGAGATGACTGATTCCCGCGATTTTACCAGGAGGTTAACTTCCCCTTCCATGAATCTTTCCCATAATGTCTTGGGATTCCTTACTAGAAGCCATGGGTCAAAAGGCTTGTGTATTCTAACGCTCCTGGGGCAAACTGCCAACACTTCTTCCAGAATATTCTGACTCTGTAACAACAGTTTATTAATTCAACTATTACTCGCTGGGGTGTTTACTATGAACCTGATGTTGTGCTGTGTGCTGAGGCCATAACAGAGACAGACAGCCATGACCTAGCCCTTCTGGAGCGCGTGTGATGGAAGAGGGCAGTCCTTGAAAGGGGGCCTACCTTAGTTCTCTGTGGCAGGAAGTGACCGAGAGCAAAGTGAAGCTGCTCTGTGGAAAGCAGGGCAGTGGTGGCAGGGGCCTCCACCTCAAGTAGAATGTGTTCACCGGGGTCCTCAGAGGAACTAACTTGAAGTTGAGCCTCAGGTGGCCAGAAGGGAAAATGCGGGGTGGAATTAGGGTTTGCCACTCCACTCGGGAAGAGCAACAAACATGAAGAGGCTGGCAGTGAAGCCGTCGGAGGACCAGGTGGTGTTAAGGGAAGCAAGGGGTGTGGTGAGCAGGAGGAGGCTGAGCAAGCCCGGAGAAGGAGGGGATGGTTGATTCCAAATCACAAAGGAGCCTTAAGGGATGACAGACACTCCACGCAGTGAAAACTGAAACAATTAATTTGGGACAACCTCTTTAGAGAAGAAGAATCCAGAGTTAGGCCCCAAATCAACTGTCTAATTTGACACTATTTAGAATGGGAAAGGAAATCACAGGAAATTACAGACTTTTAAAAAGCTGAAAACTGCCAGGGTTACCACACAATGTAGTCCAGCAATCAGTTCCTGTCACACCTCCGCAGGACCATGTCCCTGCGCATGGGCCCCCCACTCTTGGATTACATCTTCTGCAGCAGTGACTCTGTAAGAGCACTTTCTGTAGAGGATAAGGAGATCGCTCAGGCTTGCCTGGAGCCGAGTTTGATGGAAATTGATTTTTTTATTATTGATGGTTTAGGAATGCTTTATTTCCATCTTCGAAATTTGTTTTTGATAATGTCCCGTAAATCTTTAGAACTGCTGTCAAATCTGGGGAAATATCTATCAAGGACTTCACACATTGTGTGTGTGTGTGTGTGTGTGTGTGTGTGTGTGTGTGTGTGTGTGTAGTAGTAGTAGTAGTAGTAGTAGACGTGAACTTGAAAGTTGCTTGAACAGTTACAGACCCCAGTTCATCCTCCAGTCCACAAGGCTTGCTAATTGTGGTGCCAGGGACCTTCCAAGGGTTCCAGAAGGATTCTAGAGAGCAGTAATTCCTGCAGCTAAAACTGTGTGGAAACTGATTTCTGTGGGGAGAGGCCACACTACCTGCCCTGCAGAGAGCAGACTGTGGAGGAGGGCGGTCGGAGAGGTGTCATCTAGACAGGACGGCTGTTGTTCTTTTGTTTAAGCTTCCAGTGCAATGGAACAGGAACCAAGAGAGACATTAACCGCAGAGCTTCTTAGGGGGGTGGGCAGGGAAAGGTGAAAAGATATTTGAAGAGTGTGGGCCTGCGAGAGGATCAGGGAGGCCTCAAGGTCACTCAAGGACAAACTCCCTGCTGCCCTCACTTCAGCCCTGCTTAGACTCTTGTCTCTTCTCCTGGTTTTTGATTTTGAGGTTCTAGGCCTGGCCTGTTCCCCAGACCTTGCTGGGACCCTTCATACATGCAGGAAGGATTTCCTTGCTCCAAAGCTAGGTATGAGGACCCAGAGAACCAGAGATTTCACTAGAAGATGTCTGCACCTACAGCATGGATGTCTGAGAACAGCCTAAACTAGTCCCAACAGACTCCAGTGGCATAGTCAGGCTCCCTTTAGGGCTGCACAGGACAGACACCACTCCCCAGAGTGGCCAGGAGCAGACCTACAGCCATCAGCACCAAACACAACAGATACAGGCAGAGCAGGCCTATGTGACTGGAACCAGGCTTGATGGTGGCACCGAAAACACACCGGATCTACCAGGATCATTCCAAGGAACTAAAGGGATGACAGTTCCTTGGGAACTGTCAATTCTCAAGCTGGGACTGGAGCTCAGTGGCAAGCACTTGCAAAGCTCTGGGTTTGATCCCCAGAACGGGGGAGGGGTGAATCAAAGCCGAAAGTCTCAATAAAGAGTTACTGATAAGAAACACGGATTGGAGAGATGAAAAGCGAGCTGACATGTTTTAAGAGGGAAGTGCGGCGAGGCATTAATGAAAAGCGTGCGCGTGAGCAGAATCAACATCAGGGACACAGAAAACTCACTTCGGAAGTCACGCACATCAAAACAGAAAAGGACAGAGAAATAAGGCGCCCACTGCTCCCTGCCACGCAGTCTGGGCCCCACCTGGCTTTCAGTGGACCCTGCTCAGGGTCCTGTGCTGCTGGCACGCAGCGGCGGTAACCTGTATTGGTGTGACGACACCCACAGGACCTGCCTAAAGCACACGGCTGGATCCAAGGTCAGAAATGTTCTCCTTCTTGTGAGTAAGTGCCTCACCCTCTGCCAACGCACGCCATGATGACAGAACAGAGCTCATGGGCCATGGGAGGGAAGGGCAGAGGCCTCAGCACAGGCCAGTCACAGCCTTATTTATTGTCCTGGAGTTGTCACGTCTCACTTTGACTATTAAGCCAGAAGAACTGTTAGTGGGCACTTCAGAAGGAAACGACAATCTAAAAATAGTTCATTCGTTCATTCCTTCCTTCCTTCATTCATTTTTTTGTGGCATGGGGGATTTAACCCCTGCCTTGAGTTAGTTTGACAATCACGCCTCCCCACCCTACATCTGTAGCCCTCTTTTTATCTTGCAGTTTGAGACAGGGTCTCACTGTGTTACCCAGACTGCCTTTGAACTTGTGATTCGTTCCTTCTACATACTTGGCTAAGACATGGGTCCTGTTCTGTGTTGCATCATCTTGAGATGCTGAATACAGATAACCATGGCAGCATTTCTGTATGGATAGTGCCATTTCCTTCGGATGCTCTTCCAAGTCTTAATAGAACAAGAATACTCTTTAGGTCTCAAAGATGTCAGAAAAACATGGGTTATGAATTTTTTCAGTGTTTCCACTGGGAAATGCTGGGCACTAAGGTAAAATACCATAAAAATAAAAAATAGGCCCAAGGGTGTTCCATGGCCATGGTGCCTGTATCAATGACAAACCAGGAGAAAACTTTATGTGTGTGTGTGTGTGTGTGTGTGTGTGTGTGTACATGCATGTGCATGAGTATGTAGCTGTGCATATGTGTATGTGTTTTTTTTTCATAGAACTTCTTCCTACTCTTAAATCATACCCAAATGATAAATTTAAGCTAGTAAAACACATGTTGATTCAAGGTTGGGCGGTGGTGGCGCACGCCTTTAATCCCAGCACTTGTGAGGCAGAGGCAGGTGGATCTATGTGGATTCAAGGCCAGCCTGGTCTACAGAGTGAGTTCCAGGACAGGCTCCAAAGCTACACAGAGAAACCCTGTCTCAAAAACAAAAACAAAAACAAACAAAAAACCCAAAACATATGTTGATTCAAAGGAAGCATGAGTAATGGAGACCAAGGTCATGAAAGACAGAAGAGGGAAGAATCTCGGGTACACAGAGCTCCTGAACTTGGAACATGATGGTGGGGCCAGAGGCACAGTTGGACGACTCCATCATGTCCCATGTTGCTGCTTCAGACCAGGCAGGTGCCCAGGTGGGGACCTCTCCAGCTGTGAGCACATCAGAAGGAGACCATTAAAGAACAGCCACCGAGAAGGTGGCCCTGATACATGGAGGACTTGCCACAGATGTTGTACTAGCTCCTAATAACCATGTAAGGTCTTCATTGTAGAGAAGTGAGTGGTTGGAGTGACTCACCCAAGGTCACATGACCATCAGGTGAAACAACCAGAATTTGGAGCAAGCATGTCTACTTCCAAGTTCCTCTTCTTTCTCCTTGATCATGTCACCTACCATGTGACATCAGCCTGACAGTGCACAGGAAGAGCATCATGACTCTACAATCCATGTGCCATGTCACAGATTTAATTATGAGGTCTGATCTTAGTAGGGTGACATCACTGAGTCCCCGCAGGACCAACTCAGGTGTGAAGACTTGGATGGGCATGTACTTCCTAGACGGAGGGGTTTTGGGGAGTAGCAAGTACATTCCTTGAGGAAAGCCCCCCTCAGAGGCTAGGTTAGTTACTTTTGGCCACTGTGACAAACCACCATGACCCAAAAGCAACTTCTAGAAGAAAAAGTTTATTTTGGATCACAATTATAGAAGGATCTAGAAGGATAAGAACCCATCATGGTGGAGGAGGATTGGCAGCAGGGACAGGAAGCCAAGCGATCACATCTTCAACCACAGCATGAAGCAGTAAGGATGGACTAGAAGTAGAGTGAGGTGCCCTACTCCCCATTGACATGCTCCCACCAGCAAGGTCTAACCTCCCAAACCTCCCCTAACAGTGCTATCTACTGGGAACCAAGAGTTCAAATCGGGGGCATTTCTCATTTGGACCACCCACAAAGACCATGACTATCTGCAAGACAAGCATCAAAGGCCCCCGTTGAGTCAGAGCCTGATGTCTGGTATGTGCTGAGGATTCAGGAACACTGGATCACAGGGAGGTCTGGGGAGAGGAGCCAGGGCTGAGGACAGGGAAGGATGCATCTGAGGATAGAATGTTAGAGGATCATCCTGCACTGAAAAGTAGAGAAAGGCTGTCGGCCGCAGGCTTACCTTCCTGTTCCGAGTGCCACTGCAGCCATTATAACGGTGTATGAGTGTACAAGCGAGAGGTAGCTGTGCCGGAGCCAATAGGTGGCCTGGAGCCAGGACATGCAAGAACTCCTTTCTTCTGACACTGTGTCTACAGGAGCTTGCCTAGGGTCTGTCTCTAAGGCCTTGCATTCATCTTAAAAACAGCCAAGAGTGGCTTTTATCTTTTAATAATATTCTATTCTTGCTTGTTCCCAGTGCCCAGGGCTTGTTGCCTGTCCATTTCTTACAAGGTCTGAAGATTGACATCTGCCGCATTCAAACAGAGAGCTGTTTAGTGGTCAAGGGGCTACAGGACAGAGCTGAAGACATCTTCTGAGAGCGAGCAGCAGAGGACAAAGGTGCAGAAACCAAGGGGACAGGAAGGGGTGCACAGGGTGCAAGGTAATAAGATCACGTGATCAGAAAGGGGACCCAGAAGGCAGAGAGGTCAGGAACCAAGGCCAAGGCAAGAATTTGCCAGTGAATTGTCCAAGAGAGGGACTCAGTAGCAAGATGACCAGGAGCCTACATGAAAAAGGAAATCAGTCCACCAGTGGGGTTAGCACATGCAGGTTCTTGGGGGGAATCCCCTGAATTTGCACCCTCATTAGCTACCCAACGCCCCCATTGAAAACTTCTGATTCCCCTACCCCGACCTTCCTGGCCCCTTTCCCACCTGTGCCTGACTCACTTCCACTGGCTGATGTGCTTCTAGGTTTTGAGGTAACATGGCTGATAGGAGGTCTCTGCCCTCCATTGCTGTGGGCTGCTGCATCTCCCCCCTCCCCCACAGTCTTTATTTTTCTTCCTGCAATGTCAAGTTGCCTCTCTGTGAAAAGCACTGGCTGGAGGCTCGGGGGATCAGAGTGTAATTTTATCCCATTTAAAGCTATCTAGGAGCACGTGGGTGTAACAGGCCCATTCTGAGCCCAGCGCTTCCTCTTCTGTTTCCTCTCCTTCCTGAGCCTCCAAGGCCACCCTGGATGCTCCTGAAAAGAAGGGACTGTCATCTGATTAGACTGCATTTCAGAAACTGTGCCTGCAGGTCCAGGAGGGCAAGAGATGGGAGGTCACCAAACTCAAGAGTAGGCCAGGGGAAGGAACTCCCTCTTCTGCCAGGCCCAGGGTCAGAAGGCTGGGGAGGGAGTGACTACAGCTGTTCACTGTGCCCACATAGAGGACATAGATGCCAGAGGAGGAGGCACTTCCCAGGGTCACACTGTCAGCTCATAGCAGAGTGAGTGCTAATCCAGTCACCCAGGGAAGCTGCTTCTATCCTGTAAGGGAGGGGCCCCAGGCATCTGAAGCCTAGGGCAGCTTTTCATAGCAATATTGTATTTCTCAATTCTGAGACATGCATTAACATTCTGCAATAAGATGTATTCTTTTGATTGATCTAGACATTTAATTCCATCTTTCTTATGTTTCTCCCCCCCCCCACTCCAAGAAAAGGTTGTTATTAAGTTGATGGAGTATCATCTGATAGCCTCTTACAGTAAAAGCAAGTGGATTTGCCATGAAAAATACTATCAGCAGAATTCTAAGTACAATTTCCGGTGGTTTCTGAGTCCCCAGAAGCATGTGGGTACTCATCAGCATGACATAGCAGAGAAGCCAAGTCTCAGAGAGACGCAATAATTCACCTGTGGCCAAGTCTCAGAGAGACGCAATAATTCACCTGTGGTCACACAGTAAGTGCAGGATTTGCCATCAGGAAACCTTAGAGCCCACTCACTACCTTCCCTTGTGGGTTGTGGGTCTCATCCGCAGGGCCACCGTGCCTGTAGATACCAGCACCGGTGTTTTCAATCTCCAGGCCTGCGTGGGTTAGCCAGAGACAGGGTGCCTGGTCAGGGACAACCATGGGTGCACACCAGTAGGTGTTAACTCTGTCAGAGGCCTTGGGCTCCTACATGGAACTTGACCACACTCCACCCTGACATCCCTCCTCCCCCAACTCTGACCACAGTGAGACAGTGAAGGCCTGGGGTTCCCAGCCGGTGCCAGTGCTGGATTTCACTAGGAGTTAGTGTTTCCCAGAAGCCTCCTCTGCCGACAACAGACAACCCTCTGAACAACAGCACCTGTGCACTTCGTGAGCAAACAGATCAAAGACCCGCAATGCTTCCGGAAGCCTATCTGCTGATCACGGGACTGTGAACATCCTGATACACTGAGGCAGCCGAGGGCAGCTGCTGGATTCGCCAGCACAGCACATCCATTGTCAGAGCCATGCTGCCCCAACCACTGTGCTCAGCCCCTGTGTTATTTGGGGCTGGGGTCTCCTGTGTCTGAGGGCAGGCTTAGGAGAGTGGAGTCCAGTGGAGCACAGGAGTGCCTGGCCTGATGTTAATTAGCTCTGTGATCATGGACCTGTCATTCCACCTCTATTAACTGCCATTTTGTCTGAAACTGGTAGAAATAATAGCTATTTCATATATACCATAAAGCCCACACCCTGCACTTAGCAAGTAATTGGTATATTTTTTGACTTCCTCCTATTAAGCCATACACCATGGATTTAAAAGGAGTCTGGTGGCAGCCTTTCCCCTTATAGAGGAGGAAACTGAGGTCCAGGAAAGTTAAATGACTTGACCAAGGTTGCAAACAAATTCCTGGCAGACTTGGGGTTACGAAAAGTCCAAGTGTCCAGATGTTCAGACGAGTTCTGCACAGCCGCAGGCTTATGTGGTTGTAGACCTGGCTCTGTCCAAGCGGACCTTTCTGGTTTGGTAGTAGTGGACGGACTCTGAGTTAGACCATGCAGGGGAACAGAATGGGACGAGGTTGAACTCTGGAAATTTGCTCTTTTGGGGCTCTTGCCCCCTGTTTAGTAGTCGGGGTGTGAGGGTCATGGGTATTTGAACTGAGCGGGGCCTCTGAATGTGTGGAGACTAGACCAGTATAAGACATGGAGAGCAAGATTGGCAGGGGAGGTTTCACCAATGGCCTAATGAGCTCCTGGGCATATTACACACCCGCACACCAGACAGTTAGACAAAGCTGAGCTCATGTGTCCTCTCCAAGTCACTAGAGCCAGAGGGCAATGTGACCTCCAGTCAGAGAATGTGGCTTATTCCTACCACAGCCACCTCTGTGGTTGACATTATCAGTATGGGAACATCACCAGGGATTCAGCTCATAGACGATGTGCAGTGAACACGGGAAGTGAAGGCATGAGTGAGCAGGCCTCAGGCTGTCTGACCTCAAAGTTCAGTCGTGCCCCTTCCAGACAGGTAAGATCTGCTGAATTGAGTCAAGCAGGAGAAACAGGACACCTAACCTGCTACCAGCTAAAAGTACCCAGAAGTAGTGTCCTCAGGAGCTGTCAGTCAGTCATCAGATTCCCAGAGGCGACATCCCATTGCTATATACCCACACAGGCAACTAGTCTGTAGTAGCTGGGATTTGCCCTCTATGAATAGAAACTCATTTTCTGTTTGTGTTAGTTATGTTCTCATTGCTGTGACAAAATGCCCAACAGAGGCAATTCAACAGGAAAGGTTTATTTTGGCTCATGGGTTTAGAGGGTGCAATTCATCATGGTGGCAGGAATGGCACCAGCCACGTTGACAGGAGCTTGCTGCATGGCTTGTTCTAATTTTGGTGAATAAGGAGCAAGAATAGGATTGGAAGCAGGGTCAGGCTATGATCCTCAAAGACCCACCCCAGTGACCCACTTCATCATCCAGAACTACAACCTGCCAACACAGGGCTACCACTAGGTGTTCAAACACAGGATGCCCTAGGGACATTTCACATTCAATCCGCGCTAATTCTGTGTGGGTGGAGACTCACACATTTCCTGGCCTGACCTGTCCAGCCCTCTTCTTCACTTTTTCATCTGTCAACTTTGTCCTGAAATTATAACAATGACACTTTTCAGGACAGGAACTGGCTCTCTCAGGGCTCACTCGGAGCCTCTGTCTCAACATCTCTGTGTGTTGTGACAACAGAAGGGGAAATGCTGGCAGAAAGCCCAGCCAGTGGTGGCTCAGAGCTAGCTTCCGGGAAATGGCAGTAAAGGTCATGGTTTGCAAGTGAGAAATGGACCAGAGGTTTCTGAGCAGATGCCCTAAACCCAACCAGGGCATAGCAACAGCCTGCCCCTCTCTGCCCACCCATACAGAGCCCTGCCCCTGCAGAGCCCCTTTCCTCCTGCAGAGGCCTGCCCACTTCCGCAGAGACCCCACCTACACACTGACTTGAAATAGATCACCTTACACACCTCTGGCTGATCTGAGGTAAGTGTCCGGGTGTTATGCCCACCCCATTTAAAAGGAGCAACTTTGGTCAAGGTAAGCAGTAACATACCAAAAGTGAACTGTCTATCAACCTAATACTCAGTGAGAGCCAAGCCATCAGCAGACACCACCTGGACACAGAAATCAATACTACTTAGTCTTGCCCTGAGAAAGCTCCTGCTGGGGTGACTCTAGCATGAGGGGCAGTGTGGAAGGTGCAGAAGCCAAGCAGAGAAGAGAGGCATGCTATACAGGCTGGGATGCTTGGAAGGCTACAAGGAGACCACACTCTGCCCACTGGTCCCAAGGTCCATCAGCCACCTTCCAGGGGTGCTCAAGGCCCCCTAGGAGTCACCACAGAACTTGGGCCTGCTCTCACTCTCCAACTCTCGCTCACCCTCCACACTCCTCTCCCTCCCTCCTCCTTCACACTGTTGTTTTATTTTCAGAGCCTCAGGATCCTCCCCAAGCCTGTGACATTTACTCTTTGGAATGAGAATCTTTCCTATTTTCCTTTTCCAGAGTAGAGTCTCGGGGTGAGCTTTGCCCAAGATAGGTCCTGCCTGCCCTGCCCGTGCTAGCATGCCAGGAGAAGCCAGGTGTTCACACAGCACAGGCTGTGTCAGCAGCAATTATTACATACCCATTGTATGCCAGGCCCAGCTGCAGGCTGGGCTCTGCATAAAGCCTTCGAGTGCCAAGTAAAGGCTGCCCCTCACCCCCAATCTCAGAAGCAACCAATCCAGCTACATAAGGGGGACAGGAGGCAACTTTGGAGGAAGGGCCTGCTTGTGTCTCTGACACTCGACATTATTTTTATTTCTTAGTAAACTCACATAGAAAAATCGCTGCCCAATGGATAGGTGATATGTTTAGAACCATAATGCAGGAAACTGACTCCAATTACGGTCAGCAGTGGTCGGCCTACAGGGCTGTGGTGTCGACATTCTGGCCAGAGCTAAGTATAGCTGGAGGGTTTGGGTGGTAGCTCTGAGCTGGACAGCAGTTCTGTCCTCAGAAGTGCTAAGATCCCCACTCTAAGCTCAGTGGAGTGACCACCTAACTGTCTTGAGGAAGCCAAAGCCCCCAGGACAGCATTGGCTTTCTCTGCAGAAGCTTCCCAGGGAACACCATGAGGACAGCTGGCTGAGGAGACTCTCCTGGCACCTGAAGCAGACCCTGCTCCCCGAGGGTAGACCAGCTGGAGAGACAGAGAGAGAGAGAGACAGAGAGACAGACAGAGAGAGACAGAGAAAGAGAGACAGACAGAGAGACAGAGGGAGAGAGAGGAGAGAGAGACAGACAGAGAGACAGAGAGAGAGACAGAGAGAGAGAGAGAGAGGGAGAGAGAGAGAGAGAGAGAGAGCGAGAGAGAGAGTGCAAGCCTCTTGTCTTACCTATAGGCTATGGCACTCTCTGAAGCCCGCAGCTACTAAGTCAGGGTCTTCTTCCTGGTGCTTCGTCGGTTCTCAGAAACTCAGACTATGAACCCAAATCCATCTCTGTTGGCTTAAGACGTCAGTCTTTGCCTGTCCTGGTGCCAGGCTTAGCAAGACCAGACTTACTGCTGTCACTCAACAGGCTTGTGAATGAATGGATGGATAAATGAGTGAGCGAATGAATGAGTGGGTAAATGACTGAGTGAGTGAGTGAATGAGTGAATGAGTAAGTGGACAAGTGAATGGATGAGTAAATAAGTGAGTGAGTGAATGAATGAATGAGTGAATGAGTGAGTGAATGAGTAAGTGAGTGATTGGCTGAGTGAGTGAATGAATGAGTGAATGAACGAGTGAATGAGAGAGTGGGCAAAGTGAGGTACAGGCACTATGGTGTGGCCATGCCTCTTCCTCTCTGGCACAGAAAGGTTGTGTGGCAGGAACTTGCTGTCACCTGTTTATCCTCCCCAAACGCTGTCTTCATTTACCCATTGTGAGCTGGGAAGGGCCTGAAGGACACTTGCCTGAGGTGGAGTGGGAATAATAAGCCAGGCCAGTTCACTTCATATACCTACTGTGGGAGCGCCATTGCATTGCTCCTGTCCTGAGCCCAGAGTTGGTGCCCGAACACCTGCCTGAGTGACCCACCTTTACAGCTTGATGGGCCCAAGAGCTCCCTGTCTAGGTCTCCAGCCCAGTTATACAGGGCTCCCTATTCAAACTTTGTCCAGATCACAGCCTCTCATCCCTACATCTAAGCAGAGAGGCAGCTGGGAGGGTCCCTTTGCTCTGCCTTTGGTCCCTCAAAAGTCTCAAAGGGACAGAGTCATCAATGCCAGGGGCTTTCAGGTTCAGAGTTGATTACTCACGTGCTCCCACAGTTCTTGGCACAGACCCCAAGAGGGGCAGGAGTCAGCCATGTTTTTCTGGAATATGTCAGATCTCAAAGCAAGGGGTGGAGGATGAAAATAAAAACAGGTAGTAAGTCAAGCACCTTTGCTTTCTGTGGGCCTCTAGAGAGGCTATACTTCAAGGAAGCTGTGTGCAGAGACAGAGTCAGGGGTGAAGTAGAGAACTGCTGTCTGCTGTTAAAGGTACTCAGTGTTATCCCTGCCCTGTCTGTCTCCGTCTCTTACACACACACACACACACACACACACACACACACACACACACACACACACACACACACACACACACACAAGATGTTTCTGTGTGTACACATATAAGGAATCTACACCAGTATTCACAATGCCAGTACTCAGGAAATCTCCTGCTTGCTAAAAGTATCTGTAACCTGGAAATCTAGGCTCATGGCATTAGACAAAGGCAGGAAAAAGTTGAGTATCAGACATACATTCCCAGCTGAGGTCAAGCCTTTTTATTTGACTCTTATATTGTAAACAGCATCTCCTACCGTCTACAGTTTTGTGCCTAGATGATATCGATTTTGCTGTATAAAGTAGTCCCAGACATTGTACAGAAGACAATGCAATGCCCCTCAAGGAGACTAGGCATGCTCAGGCATGGGTCAGGGCCCTAATCTCTTTGAGCTCATTGCCGATGAACCCATGGCCTATGTGGTAGGGGCAGTGTGCCGCTGTGAAGCGCTGCCAGGCTCTTGTCCTTCCCAGCGGTGTCATTTCACATTCCCACCTGCAATGCGCGCAGAATTGCTTTCTCCACACCCACACCGGCATTTGCTGTTGGGATTTTTATTTCACTCTAGCTGTGCTAACATGATATTCTATTCTCCATCTACCCATTGGCTTTCAGTG